TTTTATGCAAACAAAATTATTTTAAGCCTGGAACAATTTTATGGCACTTTGTTTAAAATTTTAAAACCTAAGAACAAAAGTAACCAGAACACTGGTAGACTATATAAACTAACTTTTTAGTTTCATTGGTGGTCAGACAGTCTGGGATAGTTTAGGGTTGCATAAATAGTGTTATTCACGTTATTTGTTTCGTATATCATTTGGCAGGTCATTGGTTCATTAGTTCAGATGTCGAATTCACCTTCAGCTATTTATTTCTAGTCGGTTATTTCAAGAAACAGAACTGTCCTGTCAACTCGGAACAAATACGGAAAGCTTAAGATAATTAAAACTAATTTTCGTAACCTCTCAGTTAAATTTTCATTTATATGTAATGCTTCCTTGCTAGAGCAGATGTTAATCGAATCACACTGATCGACTGACTAGTTGTCAACGTAGAACTTTACACAAAAGTGTTGCAGTCTAAGCTGTTTGACACCACAGAAGTGCAGAAGAGGTAAAAAATAAGGATTAGTGAAACTACAGTAAACTGAAAGGCATTAGAGTAGGAGTAGTTAGATGAAGAATAGTAGGTATTTTCATAACTTAGTCCATGACATATCGTGAATATATTTGAGCCATTATGCGCAATTTCACGCTGTCATCAACAAAATCCAACAATGAGTTCTCAGAAATTTTTGAGGTCCCCTGACTTGCATTTTGCACCTTCTTAGATGGTTTAAACCAACAGTCGAACCTCTCATGGGTTCGTGATCTCTTCTGACCACTCATAAATCTTTTCAGCCTACTCCTATATCATATAATATTGCTTGTCGATAAAGGCATTGGCCAACTATGTGGAGCGCACATAACATATAATTCAGCTGATGGTGCCACATATTCTCACCATCTGATGTCTTCTCCCTACCTATCATTTTACACCTAACGTCAGTATCACTGACAATATCACTTATCCTAACATCGGGAATTCAACCCAGATACCAGTGGTCAGAAACCGCCAATCTTCCCACATATTCCATTTTCACCGTCCATGTGTTATAGCTACAAAGAAGTATCGAATGAACTGCACAAATAATTTGTTGCGTAGTAAAACTTCACGTGTGTGACAAAGGTAAGGTAGGAAAAAGATGAAGGGACTTTGGGTATCTGTGCTGTAGTCTAATCAGGAATCAGCCTGTGAAGGCTGATACAATTCCTAAAACAGATGAAGCACTCAACATATTCTACCATCTCACTATCCATCCCTAAACTAGAAACTGGTACAGATCAGTCCTATAATATCATCCTTTATCTGAAAGTGGTAAATTGCATAATAAACAGGCTAAAAACTTTGCTCATGATATCCCAAATACCCAACATTTTTCAGGGCAATAACGGGTACAAACTGGAATGGGACATTCTATTGTAGTAGGAAATCTTGCACAACTCTGAAATATGATAGCCTGTTAGTATTGAAAGACTGGGGATTCGTCACTGGTATCGATATTTTTTATTATTTTACTTCTCAGGCACATAGTAACTATTGTCTCTTTTGTAACAGGTATTTGTAAACTTGATTTTTGCTGGGTATAATTTCTAAAAACATTAGTGGTAATAGTTTAAAATACGAATACAGAAACTCATTAAGATTTCCGATTCGTAGATATTATTATAAGACTGGAACTCCAATGTGAAGTCAGTGCTACTATACGGATCAGAGACTTGGCGCGTCATAAAGACCATCTCAAACAAACTACAGACCTTCATTAACAGTTGTCTTCGCTCAATACTCAAGATCAGATGGCCAGAAAAGATCAGCAACAGGGATCTTTGGGAACGAACCAACCAGGAACCAATTGTGAAACAAATAGGCAGGAGGAAATGGAGATGGATTGGACATACTCTTAGGAAACCATCAAGTGACATCACTAGACAAGCCCTTGAGTGGAACCCGAAAGGGAAGCGACGAGTTGGTCGTCCAAGGGTGACTTGGAGGAGGTCATGTGAAGAGGAGATGAAAGCATGTGGGCAGACATGGAGCCAGGTGAAAACTCTAGCAGAGAACAAAGCGCAATGGAGACGGGTGGCTGAAGCCCTATGTTCCTGTAGGAATTAAAGGATACAATAATAATAATTATTATTATTATAAGACTGGAATTTGGGCACTTCAGCAGAATTTAATTAGATATAATACATAGTGATACATTATTATTAACATTATCTGGGCTTTAGTTCTAATTCAAAGTAAGGCATAACTTTTGGCCTCCTAAACCCAAGCAGCTTACCTTATATTCTATCACTGAATATATACATATATATTTATATGTATACAGGTTACTTATTTGGTAAATAAGTTCTGAAACATGGTGGCTGTAATCTATTGGAATAACAAGTATAAGTCAGACTTTGTTTATTAAATACCTATTAAGTCTTCGATTGCTGCATTGTCTAAGTATAAATATATATTGATTCGATATCCATCGAGTCTTTCATGTGTTAACTTCTTACTTATATAAAACTTTTTTACGACAGATTGATATTTCTTTTGTTTGTCTGTGTTTATTTTCGTCACTAGATTATAAAGTGGGTACCAATACCACCTAGTTACACAGAATTAGAGACTTCGGAGAGAACGAGTCAATTTAGACGTAACTTTAAGGCTTATTGAAGCGAAGTTTTATATCTAGGATATCCTTTTACACCATCTAGAGAAACCGAAATACTCCAGAAAATTGAGCATAAGAATATTGTGAAATTTATAAAGCTGATTCAAAACTCAAATATTAATGCTAATGGAATAGGTAAGATAATTTCATTAATTTTAATATATATTAATATGCATTTTTTAAAACAAATACAAATGATTTCCACAAAACGAAATAAAATATGATAAGATACAAGTCCATTAGTATATGCTATCTTTGAACCTCCTGATTAGTAATTTAAAATTTTATCTGAGTCCGTTTATAACAGTACTTTTAATCTGTACCTCATTGACTATGATTTACAATCGAAGTCACTAACTGACATAGTAATATCTTTTTGTTGTAAATTTAATGACAGCTATAAATCCATCCAGTCGGGAGTGAGGATGGATTTCCCGCCGATGACATTGGCTGGTGTCATGAATTGGTAGAGTTAGAATTGATGGGCCATTGAATCGGGTCCCAGTGACTGAATGGCATACGAGCTTGCCTCGTAACCGGAAGGTCCTGGGTTCGAACCCGGTGGGGGCATACTGCCGATGAGTCCCAAATTGGGACGAAACATCTAGCTGTCTAGTACTCCCTGGTTTTCAGTGGCTCTGTAACTGATGTCAGTCTGTAGTCTAACTCGGAAAACAAATCAAATCTTTACAAATCAACTCTTGAAAATTATAAATAAGACAAATTACGCTTAGTGCTTTAGTGTTATAGAATAAATTAAAGTGGCTATAGTTTTCCATTGGTTTAAAGTGTATCTTTTGGCTAATATTAACTTATTGTAGAAGTCATCTTAACGTCTTCAACACGATAATATCAGTTACCTTATTAATGAAAGTAACCTGATAAAATCTTTTTGCTTCTCTTTCCCGTCATAACTCGCAGTTTTGATATCATAATGGATATTTACAGCTTAGGTCATGTTATATACCGTAGTTCTTTACATCTGAAGGAGGGCGGGGTTGGACTGCTTTGGATGGTTTTCAGATAACGTGAAACCAGGGGTATCTATCAAGTTGTAACAACTGTCTTACTTTGATTGCTAACAAAAGTTTTAGTTCTCGAAACATAGATTTTGACATCAGTCAGTTGATCAGCTTCGGGTCGGTTTTCACAGGAATTTCATATTTTTACAGTGAACTGTCTTTGTATACACAACAATTATTATTGTGAAATATGACTGAATAACTTCAAATAAACAACAAGCTGACAAATATTTATTTAGTTCATGTCTTCGTTATGACATTTCAGTTGTGCACCGAATTGTGGTTTGATTATTGTTTTTCAGTAAGGGAGTACTATATACAACTGGCGACTAAAAGCTAATGGAAATTAATCACTAATTATTTAGGTTATTATTTTATTTAAGTCAAGTTTTGTTGTTCTCGTTGACTGGTTGAACCGAAATATTTGGCTTCTGTTGACATGTCGGCTTCTAATACAGACACTTCAACGATGTCTGAGGATTAACATTTATGTTATTTGATTTCCATACTAACAGTCGACATGTTGGTAGAAGCCGAAAACTTTGGTTCAATCAATCAGCAGGAAAAGACAAAACCTGACTTGAACAAAAAATAATAACTCATATCAACTTGATATGATTATGAGCAATAGTTTGTGCTCGAAACGTCATCAGTTAATATTACTGTACAACACTGTGTGATTTATCAAAACAAATTCTTATCCATAATGGAGTTAGGCGCTTAAAAGTCACACAGTGGTCCATGACTTCTAACGTCTGCAAGTTCGCGACATATAACGTTACCGCCAGCCAATATCATCGGGGAGCATTTGTCCTCATAGCCGACCTGATGGACCCCATTGATCATGAGTCCTCAGTATAATTCCAAGCAGTTTCGTCATGCAGCCAGTCACTAGTGAGCATTAGACTGATTTTCGAGTGTAAGTTAGAGGGGATATGATTGGTTTCAAGGTCGAGTGTGAGGACGAATACTCGTCGACGATGCTAACTGACGATGACACTAAAAAGTGTGAATTGACAGAAGTTAGAATTCATGAACCATAAAATTCCGTCTTATTAGCTGAATGTTCAAAGATCTTGCCTCGTCTCAGGTTCAGTCCTTGGGGAGGGGGGGGTCGCAGTTGCATACTGATGAAGTGTCCCAAACTAAGACTAAACAACTGTCCAGTAACTCCGTGGTTTTCATTGAAATATTGTTGTATTCAACAAACTCATCATACTTTTCACTACAAATTATTCAGATAACTGTCCTCATGTATGTTGTTAGTAATAAATTTTGTATGTTAAATTAATGTCTCATTCTTTTCTTTTTTCAAGTTTTAGAATACCTGAAAATGGGGTAATTCTATCTATATGATTTTATGATGTTCTAGTGCACTCAATGATATTCCTAACGAAAAAGTATTGTCAGATAAAGAAATTATTGAATACTTTAAAGATATACTAAATGGAGTGCAGTACTGTATGTTAATGTTAGTACTTATTATTACTATTATAATGATAATTTTCTTTTTTAAATTTTTTAGTACATTCAGTAAAGATTATACACAGAGATTTGAATCCAAGTAATATGCTGATAACTGATGACAATCACTTGAAAGTTAGAACTTTTACATGAATTTATTTATATTTATATATATCTTTAAACTAACTTTCATTTATCCATCATCAGAAAACACTTTTAAGTCAAATTCACAATTTGTAAATTAATTTGCAGTTTACACAGTTCGACGAGGTGAAATTTCACTACAGTTTTCTCTGGAAACCAGGATTATTCAAATCACAACAATTGATGTGTTCGTTAACATAAATGTTAATCAAGAAATGAGCGTAACGGCTGCCCTTCTTTAGATCACTTCGATCTGGTCAGCAAGTATTACTGGTTGATAAGAGTAATATGCAACTACTTATATCATCTAATAAGTAGTATATAGTTTCATGCAAAGAAAAAATATTTGTTTTACAGAAAAGATAACATTAATATTTTATTTATCAAGAGTAAATTTATGTGGGAAAAACACGCAATCATACAGTAGTATTTACCGATGAGAACAGTTTATTGCTCATAATCATATCAAGTCACTGACATAACTTCTATGCTTTGTTTATGTCATTCCATTACTTTCTTATCCTTTGATTTTAACGATAGTAATAATTTCCGTTTCTCCAATATGAGTGCTGTTTCATTCTTACCGCATGTGTTAGGTGTAGATTCGATGAACAAAGATTTGGCAGTCATTAAATCTACATCTGTAACAGCAGAAGGCAAGACACCGAAGCCAAAGTATATTTTCAAGTGGTCAAACCGCTATTTATATGTATCCAGTTTATATTCTTCAAACCAATCACTGAGCGCGTGATTTTTGTTTACGATCAACGACATGAAATAGAAAGTTCAAATACATATATAGGATTCTGTTACTAATGTAGTATTGAAGTGTGCGAATAGTATTCTGATGTTAGCACCAACAAATACAATGATTATAACTGTGTGAATAATATTCCGTAGGAACATATTGTCTGTATAACACCATCACACATCTAACACGTGCAATAGGAATAATGCAAAGCCAATGGTGGAGATGTGGAAAATATTATTACTAGGAAAATCAAAAGATAAAAAATAACTTGAATCACGTAAACGAAACTTGAAAGTTGTGTGAGTGACTTGATATGATTATGAACAATAAATTGTGCTCGAAACATCATTAGTAAACATTACTGTATAATACTATGAGATTTTATCAAATAAATTTACTCTATTGGTTACAGGATTTCATCATGGGCTGACATCGGTTAGAGAACCATGTTGAAATCCTATAACGAATCAATCAAATCCCTACAAACCAATACTTGAAAATTCACTCAATGATGGAATTATACTCTACTACTGTGCCAAAATCCTATTCTGTTCTCATTTAGGATATTGAATGGAAGGATTTAAATAATTTTAGATAGACGATGGAATCTACGGAAATTCATCACCCACCAAAAAACATCATGTTAACTGTCGAGGTATCCGTATGAGGAGCCGATATTTCAACGGAGGCCGAACATTTCAGTCCAACTATTCAAAGGGAGACACAAAAAACTGAAAGATATTTTTCAAGTTTGATCACGAGAGAACAATTGAAAGCCAGGGAGTACTAGACAGCTGTGTCATCCTAGTTTGGGACTCATCCACAGTATTCACCCACTGGGTTTCAAACCCAGGACCCTCAGGTTACAAGGCAAGCTAGTATACCATTCAACCACTGGAACCCGTTTCAATGACCCATGAATTCCAACTTCTACCAATCTGTGGTCAAACTCAAAAAAATCAAATCCTCACAAATCAACTGAAAGGAATAAATTAAGGTGTTGTTTTCATAGAAGATGAATGAAAACTTTACACAGTAAGAGAAATCAGACTGAATGAATAGTCGGTTCGAGTCCTCCCGGCGCTTAAGTTTTCATTTTGACATTAATCTACTGAAGTGTAGCTGTCTCTGAAATACTTAACAATCATTGAAATCAAATTTTAGAAGTCTACATTTTTGATCTCTCCTTCTACACATTTAACAGCCAAGTCTGCGTACTAAGAACACTTTTCATCTCAATCCAGTCACTCTGTAATATTCCTATAATGTGAACAGAAAGATATATTCCTTAGTTATTTCTTCATTCTCTCCTTCAGATATAAATGGTTTAAACATTCCAGTTATGGTAATTAGAGGACAAATTTTAAGCGAATATGTATTTCTGTTAGTTTTTTATTAGGCTTTAAAGTTAAATTTTTAAGTTATTGAGTAAAGAGATTTAATACGATTGTTGTTGATAGAATAAGCGTTCGAGTACAGGGATAGTAAATATCTCTGTTGGATGAACTTTATATGCAGCTGTAAAGCTGTGTAGTTGTGTTATCTGAGATGGATGATTTAGCTGCAAAGCCTTCACTGTCTTACTCGATGACATCCTCAGGACATACTTCAAATTGAAATTTCGCAACTAAATCATCCAGTTCACAGAACACACCTAAACCAAAATCATTCACATGAACTACAAATCTTCTCCATTATGTCACAAACTAAATAAGTCTGCAGAATTAAACTACACAGCAGTTCCGTTTTGGTTCATAAAGTGACGGTTCAACTTTAAGCTTTTATCGACCGTTATTTTTAATAGAATATTCCCAAGATACTATTGATTGACTAAGATGTGGATTTGTATACCATTCACATAAACAGTAATGCTCACCAGCCAGACTGAGGTGATCTAAACACTGAAAGACTGTTTCGCTTGTATGAGGCCGCGATCATCAGTGGTGTACTCAGTTTGACTCAGCTCAGAGAGGTGAATCAGTTCAAACCACCTGATTTCTGGCTGGGCACTTAGACGAGTTGGTTGGCAATATCAAAAACCAAATTCGCAGTTTGCAAATTGATAAGTGGTTTAGAGACGATTTGTAGCTTAGATGGTTGATTTTGAGTTGGTTGGGTTCTCTGAGCTGGATGATTGAATTTCGAAGCTTTCGTTGTTCTTCTAGATAACATCTTCAGCGCAAGATTTAGTATGGAAAAAAAATTTACAAAGTTCGAGGTGAGATTTCACCAGTTTCCTTTGGAAACCAAAATTATTCATAATAAATTATCTGCTTGATAAAATAAATAGCAATCAATAAATCAAGCATTAATGAATAAAATTAAATACTTTGACTGGACACTAGTAACTAGTATTGTAACAACAGAAGGCAAGAGTCAGGCAACAGATCATTTATTAAGGAAATCAACGCATATTTATATATTTTCATGTACATTATTATAGTTAAGTTAAGCAAACAAACACAGTCTTCTGATTGGTTGTTTCTCATTTAAAGTTAATCTTTCATCTCTTTGTGACTGTTTCTTGAATGTCAGAGCATCTATATGTTAACTGTATCCGCCTACACAAAGTCTGCTGTGGTCGGTTTTTGAATCAGTCTTGTTCATATTTTCTCACGACCAATCTTGAGAACGTAAACATTGACGTAAATTACTGTCTACCAATTTGGCTAGTAGACAGCTCTCACCACAGTATGATAAGTCTAGTCCTTTCTTTGGTGCAGACTGAATTCTGCCAGTCAGGTTTGCTATGTGACCACCAATCTAGGTGGCTCGCCTTCACGGTGCACATTAATTTGATGTTAGATGGTTGGAGGCAATCGCCAGAAAGCCTTCGACCTAGGTTTCGTGCTAGTTGGCACTCACCAGTCAGCTCGGCGTATCTGCATTCTTGAGGGAACTCATGTCCCTTCAGAGATTCGAACCCGCGTCACTCAGTGCTGCAGTCAGAGACATTACCGATGGGTGACGTGGATTCAAGTCTCAGAAGGGACATGAGTTCCTTCAAGGTTGCAGATATGCCTTGCTGACTGGTTAGTGCCAACTAGCACGAAACCTAGGTCGAGCAAAGCTTCCTGCCGATTGCCTCCAACCATCTAATATCATCAAAATTTTCATCAGGTAAGAGTTACTGTTAAAGTTAGTTTGGACTCCCCGTTGACTGGTTATTCTAGAACTAAACACGTAGTACAAAGAAGAGTCTCTTTCGGCGAATTTATTTTCTTAGCTGTAAAATCCCAAATATATATGGGTTATTTTGTATATATGTGTACATTAAACTTGTTGAACAAGGACAAGATCCGGCATCTTACCACTTCTATGTGCATCTATCAGTTCACCTGCTGCTACGGAGCCAGGTACATCGGTCGTTCAACGCGCATCCTGTCCAAGAGGACTCAAGAACACTACCCAGCATGCTTGCGAAAAGACAATATTGGTGCTATAAGGAGTGCGATAATTCAACACCTGGTTAACATTGATCATTCCATCTCAACAAATGCCTCTTGCTTCAAAGTAATCTACAAAGTCAAGAATAACCTACCAAAGGCAATACCGTTTCATTTTCTTTGTATCGCTGAAGCTCTGGCCATTCAAATAGAGAAACCGGAGCTGTGCATACAAAAGAGAATTACTCAACCACTTCTACTATCATGGTAACAACTTTGTTGATTTTTGATGACTTAATTTTGTTTGTTTGTCTGTTTCTTTAATTGCTTATAATTCTTGTATTCATTTAGAACTCTTACGTAATTTCGTATTCTCTACTTTGTTCCTATGTGCATCCTGAGTACAACTCAATCATCAAACTATTCATATTATTACGCAACTCCATTTTAACAACTGTTTGTGACAACTCATCACCTTTGTTAGTACACTAGTTTCATTAACATCCAATTTTCTTGACCGTTTTTGTATTACGTAACTCTGCCTAAAACTTACTAATTTTCACCTGTTTAGTTAAAATAACCATAACCAATTGTATTTTTGCTTGATAAACTTAATGTACATAATTTAAGCGTAAACACATGTAAAAATTATATTTATACAAATCAAAGCGAAATTGAAACAAACAATTTCAACGTTTCGTTGGAACTTGACCGAGCTACGTTAGGGGAGTAATCAAAATTAAAATGAAAAAGTTTTGGTTATTAGAAAGAAATACTGACTAGAGAGACCCTACTCATATGGGTGAATTCCAAAAGTCTGAATGGGAGTGATAGTGTGATGTTAGCTGATGCGT